AAATTAAAAAAAAATCAAATTATTAAAAAAATCCAAACAAAATCAAGAGAATGAGGGTTACTTATTCTTTAAAAAAAAAACCAAAATTATAGATTCAAGAATAAAATTGAAAATAGATTAAAATTTAATAAAAAAATAAGAATAAAAATTAAAATTCAAACCAACAAGGATCAAATCTTAAGTATCATCAAACTTTGAATTAAAGAGAAAAATTAAAAGGATAGAAAATTCACAAAAAAAATCCAAGAGAAAAAGAACTAAATTTGAAAAAAAAAATCATGATCATATATCTAAGAATGACATTAAAAACAAATTAAAATTTGATGATAGGACAGAGCATCAAAATTAAAAATTAAAATAATAAGAGTTAAATCTAAAATATCATAAAATAAGAGGACATGAGGACATATATAAAATATCATAAAATAAGAGGACATAAAATCTAAAATATAGAAAATAACAAAAATACTCATGGATGCAAGGCTTAAAAAAATTGATTTTAGAAGCAATTTAGTCAATTCAATTTTTTAAATAAAGTTTAAAACCAAAAATGTTCTTTTATACAAATTTAATGAAAAGTTAGCAATGAAGTAGTTTTACTACGCAATAAAAATATAAAGCGACCATAATGCCCTTTGTGAATTTGGCAATGGGATTTGTATCCCATAAAAAAACTGAATTAGCCTCCTAACCAAGCTATTTTTGTCTGGCAAGGGTAAAATAATAAATTTAATGTGTGAATCCATAATAAATTAGAAGTTCGTACACAATGCTTAACTGTTCCTTGTTAGTTTTTTTTTTTTTTTTTGATAATGATGATCAATAAAAAAAATAATATAAATAAAAAGCTATTTTTTCCTAAAAAAAATATATGCGTAATTATATCCTAAATAATAATTAACCATTTGAAGGATGGCAGTCTACAGTGACCAAATAGTTGAATTCACCTCATCATATCCGTGATTGGTGTTTTTCGAAAGACTAATTTATTAGATCAATATTAAAAACGTATGAGCATTAACAAATAATAACTTCAACATCAGCTAGTAATCGATGGGTTATTTTATTTGTAATTCGGAAACTAATTGGAAAAATCCACCATGTATTGTATTAGTCACAATAAAATAATGTTTCTCAATTTTTTAATCATAACAAAAATGGCTTTTCTTTTTATTGAATCATGGTGAATGAGGTTCTGTTATATATATATATATATATATGAAAAATCAAAAGCGAAAGTCGCGGGAAGCTATAAATATGGGAGAAAGGAAAACAAGGGAGACTTGTCTCCATAGAAACCGGGACTAGATCAACGGTCAAGCCTTCTTTGGTCTTGCTCTACCTCTCCCTCTCTCTCTTCCTCTTCTTCAGTTTTGTAAAGAAAGGCAGAAAAACTAAGAGGGAAAAATTAAAAGAAGAAGAAGAAGCAGTTTTTGCTTATATTTGGGGAGTTGAGAAATTAGACAAGTCAAAGCAGTTTTTGCTTATATTTGGGGAGTTGAGAAATTAGACAAGTCAAAGCAGTTTTTGCTTATATTTGGGGAGTTGAGAAATTAGACAAGTCAAAGCAGTTTTTGCTTATATTTGGGGAGTTGAGAAATTAGACAAGTCAAAGCAGTTTTTGCTTATATTTGGGGAGTTGAGAAATTAGACAAGTCACCTCGGACTTTCCGTTTTTTCTTCTTCTTCTTCTTCTTTTGTAACTGTTTTTGTATCCTTCAGGTGCTTTTTGGGCAGCTTTTTGGTTCCTTAACCGGTCAGTTTGCTTGTGTTTTTTTCTATTTGTTTGATTGTCTTTTGTTTTGTGCGTGTGTTTTTTATTTCGGTTTGCCTTTTGGGATAGCATATAGAGATGGGTTATTCATCTTTGATCAGATTGGAGAAGGGGCCTTCGGATTCTTTGTTGATTTGGCAGAATTTGATTGCAGTCTTCATTTTCTTGACAGCTGATTTGGTTAAGGTCAAGGAAGAAGAAGGTTTTGGCTTCAGGTATGGATTTAATCAGGTCCTTTCTTATATATTTCTTCAATTCATTTCTTGTATTCAGAACATGTTGTAAGAATATAATATATGTTGTCCGAACTCCGATGTTATATAGTCTTTAATTTATTTTTCTTTTAATGTTTCTGCTTTGATTTGCAACATGGTCTGATGGTTTCTTAATTTGATTAATATTTTTGGTTGCAGGCCCTCGCCTTCTAGTGCTGTTTGTTGAGTTTTTAAACTTGACAGGAAAAAATATTTTTTTCATTGCTTCATCTAGGGTTAATTGCCTTTCCTTCCATTTGGAGATTCGGATGGAACAGTTCAGGCAGACAGGGGAAGTGTTGGGAAGTTTGAAGGCTCTGATGGTATTGCAAGATGATATTCAGATCAATCAGAAGCAGTGCTGTTTGCTGGTTAATATCTTTTGTTTGGCCTTTAAAACGATAGCGGAGGAGATCAAGCAGAACCTAAAACTAGAAGAGAAGAACACCAAGTGGAGGCCTCTAGAAGAGCCTTTGAAAGAGGTGTATAGGGTATTCAAAGAAGGGGAACTTTATGTTAGGCGTTGCTTAGATAACAAAGATTGGTGGGGAAAAGCTATTAGCCTTCATCAGAATAAGGACTCTGTCGAGTTTCACATCCACAACTTGCTTAGCTGCTTTCCTGCTGTTATCGAGGCGGTTGAGATTGCTGGAGAAATCTCTGGACTTGACCAGGAAGAGATGACAAAGAAGAGGGCAATGCTGGTAAAAAAGTATGACAGGGGTTGGAGTGATCCCAAACTTTTCCAGTGGAATTTTGGGAAGCAGTATTTGGTCCCTCGGGAAATTTGTAGGCAGATGGAGAGGGCTATGAGAGAAGATAGATGGCTTCTTATTGATACAATCAAGGAGAAGAGAAGGGCATTGCCACCAGGAAAGAGTGAGCATCGACTTGGAGAACTTCTGCTGAAGAAACTAAATGTACTAGCACCAGCTAATGGCAAACTCCCACCAAGTTCAATTTTGTTAGAAGCAGAAGATTACCAAGTGAGGAGAAGGTTAGGTGGAAATCAGCACAAGGAAATTCAATGGCTAGGGGAGAATTTTGCTTTGAGACATTTCTTTCACGATTTTGAACCGTTGAATTCCGAAATTTCTATGCTGTTGTCTCTTTCCCATCCCAACATAGTGCAGTACCTCTGTGGCTTTTATGATGAAAACAAGAAGGAATGTTTCCTTGTAATGGAATTGATGACCAAAGATTTCTATTCTTACATAAAAGAGAACAGCAGTCCGAAGAAGCGGGTTTTGTTCCCTCTTCCAACCGTAGTTGATATTATGCTTCAGATTGCAAGAGGAATGGAATTTCTCCACTCACGGAAGATCTATGTGGGAGATTTTAATCCTAGTAACGTCCTTCTCAAACCCAGGAAATCTACAGAAGGTTATTTTCATGTGAAAGTCTCAGGGTTTGGCTTAACATCTGTCAAAAATCATTCTTCTCGACATTCATCGCCAGAGCCAAGTCCAGTCGATACTTGCATTTGGCATGCCCCAGAAGTTCTGGCCGAGCAAGAACAGGCAAGAAATGCCAGCAGTAGAAAGTACACAGAGAAAGCAGATGTTTATAGCTTTGGGATGCTTTGTTTCCAGCTCTTGACAGGGAAACTTCCCTTTGAGGATGGGCATCTTCAAGGAGATCAAATGATCAATAATATAAGAGCAGGAGAACGGCCATTATTCCCATCCCTTTCACCAAAATACCTTGTAAGCTTAACCAAGAAATGCTGGCATACGGAGCCAAGTTATCGCCCTACTTTCTCGTCTATTTGTAGGGTTCTGAGGTACATCAAGAAGTTCCTTGTGATGAACCCTAATGACGGTCAGCCTTATATACAGTCGCCCCCTGTAGATTTTTATGACTTGGAGGTAGGGTTTCTAAAGAAGTGTCAAGGGGAGGTGACTTGTGAGCTGCCTTCAGTGTCACAAATTCCATTTCAAATGTTTTCTTATAGGCTTATAGAGAAAGAAAAAACTTGTGTGCAAATTAAATTTAAGAATTCTGAAGCAGCAAGTGAAGCAGCCTCAAATGGCTGGGATGAGAGTAACTCTGTAGTGGAGGATCATCACGTGCCAGCAATTGATGCCAGGTCTTTTACATCTGACGTGAAGTCTGTTGGTTTTGATATGAAGTCTACTTTCACTGAAGTTCCAGAAAGGAAAATCCCATCTGACATGAGGTCAGTTCGTTCAGAGCCCGCTGATAAGAAACTACTGTTGATAAAGAAAACTACCAGCGTGAAGGTCAGAAAAGTTCCAGGTAAGGTTTACCTCTTCTCACAATGTAGGTTTCAAATTTATCTTAATCTTCCTTTTAATTAGGTTTACTCTGTTTTTAAAGATTTACAAGTAGCATTGCACTTGAACTGAAATGATGAAATTTAAGAATGTTGGCCTTGTGATGCAGGAAAGCCAAAACCCCTACCACCATCGAAATCATTGCCATGGACGCCACCAGGGCACAGTATGAAGATGAGATGCGAGAATCCGAAACCATTATCCAAGAGCAGCATGAGCCCAATCAGACGCAGATCACCTGGACAAGCTTCAAACCCTTAGAAATCTTACTTCCTGTCACCTTCCCAAAATTAGTTGCCAGCATACGGAATCAGATTTCTTTCTCCGTGAAATTATTGTAGATTTGGTTTGAGTTTAGGACTTTTTTTCAACTTTCTTATAAGTTTGTGTCTTAGCAATTCAGAAAACAAATATAAAAAATAAAAAATGAACAAGAAGAAAGTTGCGTGTTAGGATTGGAGCCTTTGTATTTCTGCTCAAGCTGATTTTTGATAATCTCTTAGTCTGATACCTTCAGGACATGTTAAGTTTGAATACTTTCCTTGTGGGGAAATCTTCCATTGTTTTTCTTTTTCCTTTGCAAGACTTGCATAAATGTTACCAAGAGAGTCCATAAAGTACTTCATTGTGACGCCTGAAATGCAATTTTGAACAAGACAATATGTACAAATAATATCTCCAAATTGAACTAGCGACATTACAATTAAAATAATCTTTTAAAACAATATTATCATATACACAGTTTGTATTCTATGAAATTTACAAGATCAAGCTTTTACACTTCCAAAATTTAATCCGTAAATACAAGGAAATAGATGGAATTGGTCTAAATTTCCAATTTGCTTCAAACCTGGCTCATTATTAAACAGGACTTCAAAACTCAAGAGTGCATACGGAGGTCCTTGCCAAAACTTTCAAGGGCTGCAAACCATTTCCCAGATGCCGAAATTGGTCAGACACCTTGTCACCAACGTAACTTGTAGCATCTCAATGCCTGATGTTGGCTTTGAGAATTTTATTTCAATCCAGCTCATCTTGATACCACCTTGATCTCAATCAATTTTTTTTTATATTTACAACCAATGTCCCCTCTTAAACAATACGATATTCAGGTGCTTTCACCTGTAAATATCTCAGAGCTTGTATCTGATCTTTCTTATCAGGAGATCTGGAATCGGAATTTGCTGCTCTAGGTGAAGTGCAGTTCAGCCAACTGAAACCCTATGGCACTCAGCAAGTAGAGGCTGTAGAGCAGATGACACAATTGTGTGCTCAAAGATATTGCCAAGCAAATTTTGCGGTTTCAGTTTATGAATATGCCTTCCAGAAAAGGCTCTGATCCCCATGCAACAAGTCACACGAATGCAGTTTCTTGATTGACCCCAGATGGCTACTTTGCTTCAAACCATCTGCAATACTTTTATACACCCACTTGAATTGGCAGCAACAACCATGTCAGATTTCCCTCTCCAGCAGACACTTGAAACAAACAGCCCATTGTCATCATCTGTCTCCTTTCCAGAAATAGGATCGATTGAGCCAAACTTGTGAGAAGTGATTGGCATAGGTAGAGATCTATGGTAAGCAAAAACCTGAAATGAGACAACATCACTTCAAGAAGTTAAAAGTAGCTGTATTTTGGTAAAAATGTTTGACGTGTTGTATATAAAAGCTGGGAACTCTATTCTTTTCCCTTTCATTTTACCCCTTTTCAGTGATGAATTCTCATCCTCACTGGTTATCAGGCAAATCAACGTGACAAAAGGAACTGAAGCCATACCTCATTTGTTTCTGAACCACATGTTATGTAATCATTGGCAACAGATAGACCCACAAAGTTCTACAGGAGCAAGAGATGCAAAGTTAAAGCCAACACACGGGAAAATGAAAAAATAGAAAAATAAAAGCAGTGCAAGAACAAACTGGATAGCTCCTCCAGCACCAACCTTCTCATTAGTGTGCCCACCAAGGGTTACGCTACAAGCACTGGCAGATGAACTACTAGAGCTGGTTTTATTGAGATCCCAAATCTTTAGTGAATTGTCAGTGGATGCAGTCACAACAGTTTCAGAGTCCAAGAACTTAACATAGCTCACAGCTTTGTCATGGCCAACCAACACACACCAGGGGGCTCTGGTGTTCCGAAGATCATAGCAATAGGTTCTGTAATCCGCAGATCCAAAGGCCAGTAAATGAGTAGAGTGAGAAGAGAACTGCACACAGCAAACATTTGCAATATTCCTGATTGTGCTTATACTATGTTTCTGCAAAAAAGTTTGGAGTGCATAAGCTTCTAAGCAAATTGCAGCAAGAATGTCAAAATTTTGAGCAGCAGCAAGAGCTATGACAAAGAAGAATAAACATATAAAGTTAAAAGAAAAACCATGAAGCACTATGACATTTTAACACAAATGGTGCTAAATTGTGACCATTAATTCCACCATGTGCACATCATGCACAGAGACATTTATGAGGAAAGTGCCATCTTGGCATCCTAGATAACTTCCATCAATAGAGCATTAGATAAACAAGCATAATTTCAATGTGGTAATAAAACTGCAATTGATCTTTTTTATGGCTTTCTATATATCAATAATAATAGCAATTCTGCACTAATAATTTCTTTTTTATTTTTATTTTGGCAGGGGGGGGGGGATGGATTAAATAGTGGAAACATTCTTCCAAGTCTGGTTCTAGGAATCCCAAACTATTACAAAGTAAAAAGGAGACAAGGAGAACATGCCTCATTAATGCTCCATAGCTTCACAGAACAATCATCACTACCACTGGCTAATTTTGTTGGGCATACTTGAGAAAAGTCCACGGACCAAGCTCTCTTTTCATGCTCATTGTATTGAAAAACCCCTTGACCGGTACTCACATCCCACAACTGGAGCATCAAAGCAAATCAGGTAAAGAGCAACATAAGGAATTTAAGAATACAACTGAAAAATCTAAAATGCATGATGGAAAAAAATATGCAGGAAAATCTGAGAAGGTCAGGAAAAAATAGCAATTACAGCATGTAAGAGAAGGGACCAGTATGCTTCAAGAGGTGGAGAAACCTCACAAACATAGACATATAGATTAGCAACAATGTGATTTTCTTTTTTAAGCTGTCATTTGAAAATTTAGGTAGCGATGGTATTTTGGACATGACCCTGACATCCTTTTATAACCCACAAGATACTCAGAAGCTGATGTAGAAAACTCGATATCCATGCCAGAAGTATGACAAGGTTGTCCCATATCAGGTCAACCATTGATAATCACAGAAAAGTGTTTCTTCAGTAAAAAATCTAGCATGCAAAGATATACACACCTTCACAACACCATCATATCCAGTTGAAGCCAGATAGTTCTTAATGTAGCTGTTCCAGCAAATGCAGCTGAGCTTTGACTCGTTTGACATTTCAATAACTGGATAATGAATATCAACAGGGTCATTAAAGAGTGAATTAAAATCAAATATCTTTATTTTCTTTGATACTCCACCAGCAGCAAAATAGTCTGCATCACGGTCAAAACTCAAAGAACAAATAACATTTGCAGAATTGCTAAAGTCCCCAGTTCTTCGTAGCCCACGTACTTCAAACTTACTATAACGAGCATATTTGCACAAACCATCAAAAAAGGATCCAAGGCAATCAGTGGTGTTCTGTGTTTCTTCACTCTCTTGTTCTATATACCAGTTCTCATGAATTCTCAGTAAATCATTATCTTGTCGAATGGTAGCATCAGTCTCAGCAAGCTGGACTTCAGATCTCATGGAGAAATAAGCACTTTCAAGCTGACTGATATTGCTCATCAACCTCATATCATTTGTCTTAAAATCAGGTGACACTTGAGAAAATGCCTCCACCCTGTAAGGTTCTTTAATTTCAGAGGTAGGTTTCCTTGCATTTAGAAAGTCATTCTCTAAGCAATAATGGAGCAAGTGTTTCTTTGAGCAGTTTCTCCTACCAACCTCTTCAATATCAGTATCCAAGCACCTGATATCTTCCACTAACTTACTGGCATGGTTCTGCTTCTGTTCCTTCAATGAAACAAGGAAATGAAACAATAGTTCTGATTCAGCATCATCTTGGTTGATAGAGGATGATAATTCTTCTTCGGACACCTCCTGCAATCCATTAATCAATTCAGATTGTAGGATTTCCCTGCCACATGCATACAAAATAGAATGTCACATGAGCATTAGTTTAAAGTTTAAACAACTTGCACCTCAACTATTGCATGAGTTAGCTGACAACCATCTGGGTAAAAAAGCTTGAACATATCACCATCAACTAAATGCACTAGTTTGGGAAGAAAAGAAAAACCAGAAATGCATTTTTTCCGAGAAAAATAATGATTTCTCCAGTGCAAAATTCTATAGCATTTATGGACTCACTTACACAAAAACTGATGCATGTGCAATTTAATCCCATAGTTCATCCAAAATCTTGATAAGGTCCTCAATCTCTATAAAAGGGGCAGTTTTAATATCTCAACCTATTATAAGTGTTTCAACATGCCAGTTTCATCTACTTCCATTAGTAATATCATGATGGACACAAGTCAAAATAATCCAGCCTTCCTTTCATTTCATTTCCCTTTCACTGACCAGGTTGAACAAAAATTTCCACAGTTCACTAAGGTCCATGAGACATACTCCATTAGATGTGCACTCAAACTTCATGCCTTTAACACCCACAACAAGATGGGAGGGTAGACTACATATGTATAAGTTGGATAAGGTGAGAGAGTGAATTAAAACAAATAATTGGGAGATCTAATGTTGGTAAGAGGGTGTGAGATAGCATCTTCAATGATTTAGTCCCACATACATCTCTAGAAGCACAACTTATTGTGTTGCAGATTTTTTTTTTGGCGACAGGCTAGCTTTCCATGGATGTAAATATTCTTTTTGTGAAGAGGTGAACACAAATTAAAAAGAAATGAAATTAAAAAAAAAAAACCAGAAGGGAGCCCATTTAACCACTTGAAAAATTATAAGCTTGGTACTGACACTTCCAAAGTGCTTGGATCACATTGAATTCAAGGAAAACTCCCAGAACCAGATTAACATCTCGGAAAAAATTAACAACTCTTATGACTCAATTTAAGTTTAGTCCTCTAATAATTTAAAGGTCAAGACTATTGATTAATGTAATGTCATGCTTCTAAGGTCTTCATATCCAATAAAATTCAAGATTTTACAAATTTAAAAACAAGCTAGGATTGCCTTGTTGATGGGCGTGATGAAGGTTCAGGATGAAGTAGCCAAAGGCAGAATCCAGCTTCCCTTGGATTTTCAGATAGAAATTGAGGAGGAAGAATCCTGTGACGAAGGTCTGACATTATTGTCACTTGTGCTCTGTCAGAGTCAAAACGACCAAGCAACTGAAAGAAACAACTTAATTAATCATATATATATATATATCAAAAATTCAATCCAGACTCGTGTATCTAAACAAAATAAAAGGGAATGACAAACAAAAATAAGCATGATGCATAGCTGATAGGCTTATCTAGCCAACAAAAGAATAGTACTGGTGCCAAACTTGGATAATGGCAGCAATTTTATGGTTGTAATTTCTACCACATATGGCAGCAAAATCTTCTCAACTTGTAAATCACCAGCTTTTAGAAAGCCCAATAATCAAATTGTTATGGACAAGTAGCATTTGGGAAAAGCGACAGAGCAGCAAACAAATGTGTTTTTTTTTATTACACAGAACAATGTGCCAGCTTTCAAGACTCATCAAACGTGAATTTATAAGAAATAAAATGCTCTTTGAAAACATTTATTTACGGAAATAAATTCTACACCATGGTAAACCAGAGTAACAATCAGTCATCGCCTGGATGAAGAAGATGTTTCATTAATAGCATTTATCAAATAATTAAATATGAGCGATATCATAGAAGTTGAGTGAGAGTGCCCAACAGACAAGACAACAAAAAACATCTTCGCACCTCAAATAGTAGAATTCCAAGACCATAAATATTTGATGCAATCCTGCAGATGCCATCATCGAACTCCTCGGGACTTGTATACCATTTCTCTTCCAGCCGGTCAACAATAGAGGTCAACGATTTAGATGGCTCATGGCTGCTGGACTTGGCCTTAATCCCATATTCTGTGTCATGGTTATGTTCAGTAGCTTCATTTTGTGAATCTTGTGAGACATTTGTATCGACACCCCCATCACTTGTAGATTCAAGTTTCAAGCTATGTTTTGTAGAGAACTGAGGCCAGCTACTTATATGGTTCATGCTCTCACTAAACTTCTGCTTCTTGGCAAATGCAGTAACAAAAGAAAACATTCCTTGTTCCAATGGCCTTCTCCTGACCACATGATTGTTGGAGCAGGGTGTATATTGATCCATGGAACTTTCTAACATGTCTCTTGGGACAGCTGAACCAAGGTATTTAACCTGATTTGATTGCAACAACTTGAAGCTGGATGGCCACAAGTCAGGCAAGGCAACTCCTTGAGAGTGAGAATAATCCACTAGATCAACAATCTGTCTAAATATTTGCAATCTCTCAACTTTACTTGCTTTCAGCCGTCCAGCATTCAGCCATTTCCTCAAACTCACTCCATCATGATCAGGACCACTTGGGCTCGGCCCAGTGATACCATATGAAGAAGTCATCGTTACAGTCTTAGCACTCAAGTTCAAAGGAGTATCAGAAGCTGCCGAAGTGCCACCCGCGGACCTTTCATTATTCTGGTCTCTTGGCCCAAGTTTCAAGCTATTATGTGGCGGCCCTCTATAAATAATCCCCTTACCTTTCAAGGTGCTTTTGACAAAAAACTCAGAAAATCCTGATTTTGAAAGAATCTTTGTCCGGAAACTACCATTTGAACTCACATTGCCTGACAACCCTTTAAAGTCAGTATGCACCAATTGTTCTGAGACTTCATTTCTTTCATTGCTCAAGGTTTTTTGAACCAGAGTATCAGATGAAGATGGGTGCTGCACATCTAACAATGCTTGACCACTGTCCCTATACAAGGTATTACTACAAGAAATCCCAGTTACTGATCCCCCTCCAATTTGATAAAGATGCGGCCACTGGCTCTGCCTGGCCTGCATCCTTTCCCTATTGTTTGAGGTACCAACAACGACTAAGTTTGAACCATCATAATTTTTCACCATTAATTCTTCAACCATATTCCCAGCATCATCCATAGAGCGAGGGCTAGAACATGGCTGTTTGGATGCATCCATAGGAATGCTTGCACTCCTATTTCCATTCTTTCCCTCCAACACATCAGCAAGTACATGAAATGAACTCTCAGGGTAATCACCAGCACTGGCTATAACTGTTTCACGAGATTCCAACAAGTTGGAGCTTTCAGGTGGTTTCATAGAATACTCGCTCTCTTTACCTTGGAGGTGTGCCTCCTCTGCCATGTCCATGGAAGCCACTTCATCACCCAAATCCTTCATCCATACCATCCAAAATCAAACAACTGTATCATGTATTCATCTATCATGTTACATTTTGTAACCACATGCCCATCATCAATCCTCCTAAAGTTAACAAGATAAAAAGCAATGACATCAATTCACTACACTTAAAAGTGCACAACTTTGAGCATAAATTACCCAATAATTTCAAGCCCACAAAACTTTTAGCCATAATCTTCACTTCACTAAAAAAAAAAAAAAGGATAATCAAGAAATGTTTCTCTAGAATAATCAATACTTACAAATTCTAAAGCAACACATAATCCAAAAGTTTCAAAACTTCAACTAAATGAAAGCCTACCAAAGCTCTCTATCTGGAGGCTAAAAATCTAAACGCAAAGAATTTCTAAAATAATCAAAATTACTAAATTCCAACACCAACCCAGAATCCAAAAAGTTCCCAGCTTAAACAAAATGCAAGCCTAGCAAAGCTCTAATTCAAAGCTAAGAATCATAAGATGCAAGATACGAGAAATCAAAAAAAAAATTCAAAATTACAAAATTCTAACAGCAGCCAGAATCCAAAAGGTCCAAAAATCTCAAAAGATGGAAACCAGCAACAGTCATCAAACAAGCTAGTAAAAACCCTTTGGCAGCTAAGAACCGGTAAGTGCAAGAAATGAAACAAACTTAACCAAATAATTCTTTCTCCGCAAAACTTAGCTATAGAATTTCACTTCCTCACCAAAACAAATGATTAAGAAACCTTTTATTAAACAATAAAAAAATTTAAATTCTAACGGCAACCCAGAATCCGAAAAACATCCCCTTCAACAAAATGAATGACTGGCAAAATTTGATCCTCGACTAAGAATCAGAGAAGACGATGAAAGAAATAAATTTAAAGGGATAATTACTTCTCCAAAACACAAAAAACCCTCAAAATGTAGTCTTTGATATCTTTTAATTTTCTTAGCAACCAAACTCATACTAAACTGAAAAGGACAACCAAATGCAAATCCAATAAAAAAAACACTTACCTCCATCAAATTTGGAGTGAAATGGAGCACTTAATTTCTTTCAAGTAACGAATTTGAAATGGCAAAACTGGAAATTTGAAGACCTTGAAATAAACCCTAGAAGGAGGTGACAAGTGATAGTAGATGAGACTCTTGCGTGGAATGGAAGTGAAATATTTCTCTTTCTCTCTCTAGTTTTGCAGCTTCAAATTTTGGATAAACTATTTTCGTTATATTAAGTTTTTTTTTTTTTTGGTGTGCTGTTAGGTGTTAATTTAATAATTGTGTTTTTATTTATACTGCCATTAGATCTACGAAAGAAAGGTTCAAAATAGTCAGGAGAGAGGGTGGCCTGTTATTTTTCTTCAGGGAATTATTTAATTTTATTGATAATTCTAGTTATTTAAAAGAGCATCATAAATTGTTGTATTTTCTAAAATGTTTTTTTAATTATTTTTTCGTGTTTATAAACTATTTTTATATATTAATAAAAATAAAAAATTTAAAAATAAAATTTTTGTTTGATGGCTTACACGTTGACTCAGAATTTCACCACCGCGCGCGCGGTCTCTAAGCGTCTTTCGAGCAGTGTGTTTACAGGCGCACCCCGGCGCCACGACCCCTAACAGCTTGCTTGTTTGCTCTGGCTCTTGTTTTCTACTCTTTTCATCCTGAAGTTTGTTATAGATGTAAGAAATTCCTAATTGAATTTATATACAAAACAAGCACAACTGCTTCGCCTTAGTAGTTGTTTTGAATGCCTGAAAATGTTAAGCTGCTGGTTAAATTAATTTTTTTAATATAAAAAATATGCAAACATTATTAACGTGTTGCAAATTAAAAATTTAATGAGCTTATAAATATTTAAAAAATTCAAATTAGTCATCTGATATGATTATAAATTTTGGAAAAAGTTGTTAAGCCTAACCAAATATTAAATCATTAAATTAAAAAATATACACATGTTATTACATGCTGAGGGAACCTTTCATTATTTTTATTTAATTACGTGAAAATAATATTTATCATGAGAAGCATTGTAATTAAATTTCATTGAAATAAACTATTTTGTTATTTTAATCCATCAGCTTCTTATTAAATATTTTTAATTATAGCAAAAAAAAAAGCAAATGGTTTTTATTTCTAAAATCCATCCACTGGAAAGGTGGTTGAAAAATGAGTATTAGTTTTTATTAATTAAAAAATTATTTTTCAGTTAATTTTTATATAAAAACACAAAAAATACATTTTTTAACCTTAATAAACTAGTTTTTTAAATCTAAAACACTGTTAACTTGCTTAAAAATATATAAATTTTTTGAATGAACAGTGCTTGATTCGGTCAAAATTTAAAGTTGATTTTGACTCAATACGAGGGAACTGTTACTGCATTTAAAATAGAAGATGATTTTATTTTTTTTTTGGTAATTCCCCCGAAATAAATAAAGAACATCCACCCTCGCAGAAAAATAAGACTGCAGTTACTAGTTACCACATCGTTTATATGCTCTTTAAAATCTCCTTCTTCCTCCTTTCTCGCCCGCCAGCCCGCCCACTCACACACCACAAAACAGATAAACCCTAACCCCCAAATTCTTTGTATTCAAAACCTAATTCTACAATCATGGCTTCCAATAAAGACGGCGATCCTTCTCTTGGCTACCTAACACGAAAAGATACCGAGGTAAAGCTCCCCCGCCCAACCCGAGTCAAGAACAAAACCCCCGCCCCGATACAAATAACAGCGGAACAAATCCTCCGCGAAGCTCGAGAACGACAAGAAGCCGATATCCGACCGCCCAAACAGAAAATCACAGACTCAACTGAACTCGGCGATTACCGTCTCCGTAAGAGGAAGGAATTCGAGGACTTAATTCGACGCGTGAGGTGGAATATAAGTGTTTGGATAAAGTACGCGCAATGGGAGGAGTCTCAGAAGGATTTTAATCGCGCGCGTTCAGTTTGGGAACGTGCGCTCGAGGTGGATTACCGGAATCATACTTTATGGCTGAAATACGCGGAGGTGGAAATGAAAAACAAGTTCATAAATCATGCGAGGAATGTGTGGGACCGGGCTGTTACCCTTCTCCCGAGGGTTGATCAGCTCTGGTATAAGTACATTCACATGGAGGAGATGTTGGGGAATATTGCGGGAGCTAGGCAGATTTTTGAGAGATGGATGGGGTGGATGCCGGACCAGCAAGGTTGGCTTTCATATATAAAGTTTGAATTGAGGTATAATGAAGTGGAACGTGCCAGAGGAATTTTTGAGAGGTTTGTTCAGTGTCATCCAAAGGTGAGTGCGTGGATTAGGTATGCAAAGTTTGAGATGAAGAACGGTGAAGTTGCGAGGGCGAGAAATGTGTATGAGAAGGCGGTTCAGAAGTTAGCTGATGATGAGGAGGCTGAGATGTTGTTTGTTGCATTTGCGGAGTTTGAAGAGAGGTGTAAGGAAACGGAGAGGGCTAGGTGCATTTATAAGTTTGCTTTGGATCATATACCAAAAGGGAGGGCGGAGGATTTATATAGGAAGTTTGTTACGTTTGAGAAACAGTATGGTGATAAAGAAGGGATTGAGGATGCAATTGTGGGGAAGAGGAGGTTTCAGTATGAAGATGAAGTGAGAAAGAATCCTTTGAATTATGATGCGTGGTTTGACTACATTAGGTTGGAGGAGAGTGTGACAAATAAGGTGAGGATTAGGGAGGTGTATGAACGAGCAATTGCTAATGTCCCGCCTGCTCAAGAGAAGAGATACTGGCAAAGATATATCTATCTATGGTAAGTTTTGGATTTGAAATTCATATTGCATTGTGGTATTTGTTGTGGTCGAGTGCTGATTATAATTCCTGCATTTGTGTGGTCTAGGATAAATTATGCCCTTTATGAAGAGCTCGATGCAGAAGATATAGAGCGAACGCGGGAGGTATATAGGTAATCTTGCTTTTTCTGAAATGATTGTATTGGTTTCTCTTTTTTTTATGTTGATGGTGGCCGGTACAATGCCCTTTAGTTTCCCTTTATTAAACAAGGAACTGGTTAATGCGTAATGTCTTAGCTGTCAAAAGAGTTGCCAGCAGAGGATAGGTTATACAGGAGTCTGTGTTTTCAAGCGCTTTGTTTATTGATAAGAATCTGTTGTAGTATCATTGATTTTTTTGGGGGGAGGGGGGGATCGAGAGAAAATGTGGATCAAATATTAATTGAAGTGTTCCTAGTTAGATTGAATTGCTGTTCTTTTCTAGTCATCTATTCTGAAAATGTGATGATTTTGTGTTCATGCTGCTGCTTTTTGATAGATCTATGAGAGCTTTCCAGTGCTCAACCATCTTAATGGCGCACACTGACTATGTGACAGCATTCTTATCTGAAAAAAAAAAAAAATTGTGGTGGCACAAGCAAAGTTATTTTTTTTGTCTCTAATTTGGTGTACAAGTGTGCCTTTGTTAGCATACAATGCTGTGTGATTTTGATTTGCGTGTTAACTTCTCCCCTCCTGTCCTCCCCATCTCTTCCTTTTATACTCCATACTTTCTCACAGACATATTGCATGCTCATTTATATCATACTCTGTCTTATGATCATAAATTTGCAATTTATTGTCAATAATGAAAAAAAATTAAAAAATAAAAATAAAAATAGGGGTTCCAGAACAATAACAATAAAACAAAGGGATTGGTGCATTGATAAGTCGATCCAACTGACTATGAAGAGTTTTCTAATTCACTTTTAAATGTTAACAGGGAATGCTTGAACCTGATTCCACATGAGAAATTCTCATTTGCGAAAATCTGGCTTTTAGCAGCCCAATTTGAGATCCGACAATTGAATCTGAATGGAGCTCGGCAAGTTTTAGGTAATGCTATTGGAAAAGCTCCTAAAGATAAGGTAAAATCTTGGCTGATAATACAATCTTTATGTTTTTATTACACTATGTTGTTCTGTTCTGACACCTTTGCTTGCTGACAAACAGATATTTAAGAAATATATTGAGATTGAGCTGCAGCTTGGTAATATCGACCGTTGCCGAAAACTCTATGAGAAATATTTAGAGTGGTCGCCTGAGAATTGTTATGCATGGAGTAAATATGCTGAACTGGAGAGGTCCTTGAGTGAAACCGAACGGGCACGATCTATTTTTGAGCTTGCTATAGCACAGCCAGCCTTGGATATGCCGGAGTTGTTGTGGAAGGTAATTTATATGCTGTCCCCATTTTAGCTAATTACATATTTGTAATTCATGTCCTTTGTTGACTGTAAAACTTGGCATTTATATGTTCTGTAAGTGGATTGCGGGGCCAATAATCATAACTCTGCAGTACAAAAATGGTTGCACTTCCTTGATTTTAAATCAAGGTGTCTTTGTGTCCTGTAATGGTAAATTTTCATATTTGTTTGATTTCATGTTTGAATCTTATAGTCTATGCATGTCTTGAAGACCTTTTCACAAAAGAATGCTCATATTTGTTTGATTTCATGTTTGAATCTAATAGTCTATGCATGTCATGAAGACCTTTTCACAAAAGAATTATCATACGTTGTGATACATGGTGTCCCAAACTTTTATTTTTCATATATAAAATGGTTAAAGCTACTTGTCAGGTTAATGAGAACTGTAGCAAATCACGTTATTCTTTGAGTCATATCCGTGCTCTGTTTTCTCTTTCATTAATTTTTGCTTTGCCAGTCTCCTGTCCATTATATCATTTGTATCTTTTTGGGCTGAGTGATTTTTGTCACTAAAGGTTGTGGAATGACATGCTGACAATAGGAACCATCAATCAGACATTCCTGACAATAGGAACCATCAGTCAGACCCCTTGTGCATGTATGCATTGATTTCTGCGAAGTCTCATCGCCAGTTTTTTACATAAGAAGCTGTGGTGTTTGTAGACCTGGGAATTTGTTATTTGCCCATAAACTTAGCCTGGGTACAATTCCAGATACCCTTCATCAATTATAGGAATGAACTATATGTCCCTGGCTCACCGAACATTCTTGATCTCCTCATTCTCATACAACTTTAACTTCTTTGAATTCTTATGGCTGGTTTTCCTTGCGTGGAGCTGTTGTCTTTGTAGGTCATGGACTTTGTTATTTGCCAAGGAACTTACCTTAGGTTCAATGCCTTACCCTTTTCCAATCAATTTATTTCATTGACTTTTGAATCCTATTTAGTCTATTTTCTCTGTTATGCTCTTCATCTGCTCTCTTTTCTCATTACACTGTGTCAGTTAGGTTTCCTCTTGTAGTATACTGTTTAATGGAAGGAATCTGGACGAGTGCATATAGGACATTATTTTTGGAAACTGTGGTAAAGAGAATCATTGTTGTCATTCTAAAACTCTAAGCGGCCTGAT